CCCTTCTCCCTTCTCCCTTCTCCCTTCTCCCCTCTCCCCTCTCCCCTCCCCCATCTCCCCTCTCCCTTCTCCCCTCTCCCCTCTCCCCTCTCCCCTCCCCCATCTCCCCTCTCCCCTCTCTCCCCTCTCCCTTCTCCCCTCTCCCTCTCCCCTCTCTCCCCTCTCCCCTCTCCCTTCTCCCCTCTCCCTTCTCCCCTCCCCCATCTCCCCTCTCCCTTCTCTCCTCTTCCCTCTCCCATCTCCCCTTTCCCTCTCCCCTCTCCCCTCTCTCCCCAATCTCCAAAAACCTCAAAACCTCAAACTCTTCTCGTCCGGATAAAGACTCACGAGTTTCAGAGAATTATAGTCCTTATGTCTGACGACCCGAGTGATCTTGAAATCCTGCGCCGTGGATTCCCTGGCCATGATGTTGTGAGCTCCCAGGCGGACGCGTAGGTTGGAGATGTCGAACTGGCTCATGCTGGAAGGGGGGTGGGGAGAAGGAGAGGTTATTTTTTTGTTATTATTGCTATTATTTGGTGGTTGTTGTTGGTGGTGGTGGTGATGTTTTGTTGTTGTTTTGTTGTTGTGATTTTTTCATTATTGTTGTTGTTGTTGTTATTATTATTATCAGTATTATTATTATTATCATGATCATTATTATTATTATTATTATTATTATTATTATTATTATTATCATCATCATCATCATCATTATTATTATTATTATTATTATTATTATTATCATTATCATTATCATTATTATTGTTATTATTATTATTATTATTATTATTATTATTATTATCATTATTAATATTATGTTTTTGAAGGGTTCCTGTCTTTTTTTCTGAAAAAATGGATTGTTTGTTTTCCGTTATTATTTCTTTTATGGGTTGAGGGATGGTTCATACTAGAACTATTAAAGGGTTTACTGTTTTGTAAGAAATTTTTGCTGTTTGAATTGAGTGGCGTGAGAGCAACAGGTTTAATTATTATCATTATTGTTATTGGTTATTTATTTATTTATTTATTTATTATTATTGTTGTTGTTATTATTATCATTATCATCATGGAACTTAGATTGTCCTGTATTCTGGAATGGTGTGATGGGATGATATTAAATTTCCTGTTTTATAAGACTGAATTGTTTATATTGGAAGGATAGGTCTTGCTTGAACGGTTTGAGCAAGAGATGTAAGAAGTATTGGTTAGGTTTGTTATTAGATACAATTTTGATGCTTTGCAGTAAGATATTTTAGATTTTCTTTTGTTTTTTGTTTCTTTTAAGGTCATTCATTCTATGAATATAAATTCACTGTATTTGGGGGGGTCAGAAAATAGTGATGTTCTACGTAAACATTTAATTCCCTGACACTCAATATATTATGTATCAAGGTTAAAGAAATATCGACTTGAATCATGTTCGCCAAAAAAAAAAAAATAATAAAAAAAATAAATAAATAAATAAGACATTAAAATTAAAAAAACAAAATTTTGACTTACTGGGCAATGCAATGGGCAGCTGTCAGGATGTGCGTTCGGTCGATGAGTGAACCGCCGCAGAAGGGTTTCCCGCCGTTGAACAGAATAGCCTGTAGGAGAAAGATAGAGATGCAGGATATGTAGGATTCTGGAAAGTTTCTTTTGTATCATTTCGTGGTCTTTGATGTTAAAGAGATTTTTTTTTTATAACAATAACTTTTTATAACTTTGTTTTTTCTTATATGTTAGCAAGTTTTATATATATATATATATATATATATATATATATATATATATATATATATATATATATATATATATATATAACAATTTGATAATTGTAATATCAGTAAGAAAAGAGAGATGCGTTTTTTCAGTGCTGATTAAGATAATGCTATGTTAGAAAGTCTTTCAGTTTGTTGAGGCTTAGGTCATTACGTTTTTTTTTTTTTCTTTTTCTTTCTTTCTTTTTTACTGCGAACGAAAGGCAGAAAGTAAAAGAGAAAAACAAAGAGAAAAAAATAATGCCGGTAGGGTCATGCGTTTACATTTCTTTTTCTTTTATTTCTCTCTCTCTTTCTTTATCTCTCCTTTTCTTTACATAATTAAAAAGAGAAAAAAAAGGATGACACTCATTACGAAGAAAAAAAAATACTTGAATGTACAAACAACCTTTTCATATTTACAAAGAAGGACAAGGGGAAAAAAACAAGAGGTTTTAACAAAGTATAAAGACAATATACAAAACAAAAGCATATGTAAATGAAGGGAACAGTGACGTGTCTAGCTTAAAACCATAATTCTAATAGTTTCTCATTTGTTTTAGTGATTTAGTGATCCTAAAATCTCATTTTCATTTGTTTTCGTGATTTAGTGATCCTAAAATCTTATTCTTCATATGTTTAATGATTTAATGATCCTAAAATCTCATTTTTCATTTGTTTTAGTGATTTAGTGATCCTTAAAACTTATTTCTCATTCGCTTTAATGATTTAGTGATCCTTAAGTCTTATTTTCCATTTGTTTTAGTGATTTAGTG